AAAAAAAAAAAAAAAAAAAAAAAAGACAAAAGACAAAAAACCCTTCTCTTTATATTTCTTGGTGATAAGAAACACTTTCCCTATTTAGTGACTTCCTACACCATCTGAAGTAAAGCACACTGACTAGATCTGCATGGTGTGCAAATTAACTGCATTCTAAGTGGACCTCTCCAAGCAGAAAACAACTTATTGCTTCCAAACATCTGACCAACACTATCCTTGAAGGAGTTTAGAAACACTTCCAGTTTGTTTAAGAAAAATGAATGAATGAATGACAGGGCCAGACTGGCAAAGGTTGGTCCATGGTTGTTCAGCCCCAATTCTGATCTTTCCCTGCAAAATACATTCAGAGTATTATTAAAAAGGTAGGTATTATTTTAGGTGGATTTTTTTGTTGTTGATCTAATACTAAACATTTTCCTTTGCTAATAACTATAATGTCACACTGACCAAAAAAGAAAATTAACAAGAAAAATGCAAGAGCAGCGGCCATGGCTAGATGACCTGATAGAAGAGTCGCAACACTTGGAGTCTTTTCATCTTTTATGGCGGGGGGGATACGCAGACTCAAACTCAGAACCTCACACTTGTGAGGAAGGCGGCAGCACCACTGAGCTAAATCCCCAACCCTGGAGTCTTTTAATCTTATATGTGAGATACCTGTGCTTATGAAGAAGAAGAACCAGGAGCCAAATGTAACACAGAATCACACCACACACTTCTGTCATGGCGAAGGCCCATGGGATTCTGGGAACGCTGCAACAGAGAAAAATTTGAGCTGGAGTAGATGCTGCTACCCTTTATAGTAAGAGAACAACTTTTACACTGTTTTATATACTTTCTTTCTCAAGGGTTTCATGTGGAGATTCTAGAGAGAAAATCTGTTTCATAAAGCATCCTGTTTATCAGTTGTTTGCCCTGTGACTTCCAGTCATGATTCTCTGTAAAGAAGTAACAACATGAGTTCGATACCCCATACCAAACAAACAAAAACCAAGTAACATTTCTCTCCCACCCTAAAGCACAGCAGACCTGGTTACAGGACCTCCTACAAAGAATGGGAGAGCCTGCTTAAGTGATGTTTTTACTTCAGAAGTCAGAAAATGAAGACTTACTCTTGACTTTTTAACATTTCCATGGGTAAACAGGTGTGATGGCACACACCTGTAATCCTAGTACTCAGGAGGCTGTGGCAGGAGGTCTGCGGGAAGTTTGAGGCCAGCCTCGGCTACATATTGAGACACTGCCTTTTAAAAAAAAATCCGTTAAGTGTTGGAAACTATATATGTTACATACAGTTACCAGGCGGAAGCGGTGTACCAGGGATGGAACTCCAGACCTTGATCTTGCGAGGCAGGCAGTGGAACCACTGAGCTAAATCCCCAGCCCCATACATAGTTTTTTTAAAAAAAAATTTAAACTTTAGAAGTCATTTCAAAAATATTTGTAATTGGAAATTTCTTTTATGTGATATAACTCTTTTTCTAGTAATATCAGATACATAAGGAATAATAGTTTTTGTTTACAAGTAGAAAACATTTCGTTTCATTTTGTTTTGTTTTTGAGACAGTCTCCCTATGCAGTTCAGACTGGCCTTGAATTTGCCACAGTCCTCCTGCCTCAGCCTCCTCTGGAGTGTTGGAAATAGGGGCTGTGCCACTACACCTGGCTCATTTTAGTTTTTAACTTCTTTTTTCTGTCAGTCCGCCTCTGTTTTGTATCCATGTTTTCTTTTTTTTTTTTAATCCCTGTTTTCTTCTATCTGTTCCATTTGTTACTCTTTTCCCCTTACAAATCCATAGTTCCTGTGATTATTCACCAGTAAGACAGATAACATTTAAAAAGAGAAAGGGAGGAAAGATAAGGGAAGGGAGGAGGACAGGAGGCAAGGGGGGTTAGGAAGGGAATGCAGAGTGAGGGAAGGAGGAAATAGTTCAAATAATCTCCAGAAGTAGTATTATTGTTGGCTTTATTTTTACTCTTTGTACTTTGAACTAACAACTTTTATACAATGGCACATTAATGTTATAACTAAGAAAATAAAAGCATTTTTCAAAAAAGAAAACACAAAGTCTGAAAGAAATGATATTAATAATCCACTCCAAACCTTACTCAGAATAACTGAAGTTTCTCATCTTCATTTAGAGATTTTTAGATCAGAAAGCATTCATGTACTTTTAACAATATTATTCCTACCTTATTTACCGTTGTTACCGAAGTAATTTCCTATAACAGAATTTCAGATACAATAAAGATTCCTTTAAATGACTTGTGAAAATTTCCATTTTAAGATAAACCTTCAAAAATAATATACATATATACAAAGTAAGATAGTTTTATAATGTCTAAGATAAAAATAAGTTCTTGCTTCCTTTTCCCCCAGTACTGCAGGATTGAACCTAGGGCCTTCACTCTAAGCTACATCCCCAGGCCTTTTATTTTGAGACAGAGTCTCATTGAGTTGCCCAAGTGAGACTTGAACTTGGGATTCTCCTTCCTCAGCATCCCAAGTGCTGGGATTACAGATGTGTAACACCTTGCCTGGGTAAATGAAACCTAATTCTTGTTATCCAAAGGCGATCATTTTTATTCTTCTAGTTGTCTGTCTCATCTGGCAGCTAAATCTTTTAGTCACACACTCCCCCAACACATACTCACAGTCTCTCTTCTGCTTAGTATTTCATGATCTTGTTTAAAATAGTTTTTGGCTTTTAGTTTATATAAAATTTATAAATGTTTACAGAGGAGCCAGCAAAGAACCGTGATTAAATTCTTTCCTTGTTCAACTTAAAAATCTGTGGAATAGTTTTCTTTTTTAGTTTTCTATGTACTTATCATCGTTCATCCCCAAACTATTTTTTATCAAACTGAATTTTTCTTGGAGAAAAGCCTTGTGTTCTTCCCACTGTTATTCCAATTTAGAATGGTTGCATTTTCTAGTTCTCTCGCATGGCTATTTCTTGGAATAAAATTAACCTTCACTTTGGGAATTCTTCTTTGCTGTATCAAATTTTGTTTCCTAAACCCCATGTCTTCCTCTTTCCTAGTTTACTCTTTAGTTTACTGAGGCTACAAACAGTAAACTTCACCTTTTAACTGCACAGTTCAGTAAGCTTTGATACATAAATGTAGCTCCTGCTGTAATACAGATACAGAACATTTAATCACTGCAGGAGGTTCCTTCCCTTGTGTCCTGCTAGTAATCTTCTCCCTCACATCCAGTCCTGGGGCAGCCAGAGACCTGATTTCTGTCCCTGAAAGGCTGCTTCTTTCAGAATGGAATCATACAGTACCTGCTCCAACAGCCTCTGTATCTGGCCACTCACACTTAGCACAATGCAGTGCAGCTCTCCATCCACTCCCTGGCTGAGGGGTACCTGGGGTTAGCCCCCAGCATCTGGGGACTATGTATGAAGACCACACGCAGGTTTGCACTGCCACATTTGCTTTTCTCTTGGGTAAATACCTACGAGTGGAACTAAGTTCTATCTTCAGAGTATGTTTAACTTCTTATACTATCAAGCTATTTTTAAAGCAGTTGTACCATTTCACACGTCTACTAGCAATGTGTGAGAGTTCCAGTTGTTCGGAATCCTCATCAGGACTGGGCACTGTCAGGTTTTTTCATTTCAGTAAGTCTAATAGGTATGAGGCCAGGAAAGTAATATTTTGAGACTTGCAAGTTTTTACACATGATTGGTTGATAGCCTTACATCCAGTTGATATTTATCTGGGTTGAGAATGCTAGGGTGGATATTATTTTCTCACAGAATATTCCACTTCTTTTTTTGAGACAGGGTCTCACTTTGTAGTTCAGGCTAACTCTGAACTCACTATGTAGCCCAGGCTGTCCTCAACCTACCGGTGGATCCTCCTGCCTCAGCCTCCCAAGTGCTAGGATTATAGGTGGGCACCACCATGCCTGGGCCCCACTGTCATCCTGCTTCTAGTGTTGGAAGCAAGTTTGATGTTACATGGATTTCCATTTTCTGTATGCTACCCATTTTGTCTCTTCAGAAGCTGTTACACAGTGTTCTGAAACTTTCATTCTCCTCCATTTTCGTATGTGTTCTTTCTGGGGTCCTCTTTGTTACTTGTGGAGCCAGGTGGATTGACTTTAATTTTTCTCCTCTACTTTTCATCATTTTGTTCTATGTACTAGGTAGGCAGTGTTATCTAATCTATATCCTAATTATCTGGCTGGATTTTAAACTTTTAAAAATTTCCTGAAAGCTATTTTTTCTCTCTGAATTTTCATTCTCTCATTACTGTCTCATAAAATGCAGTTATCTCTTATGTTTGCAAGAATACGAGTGGTTATTTACTTAGAAGTGTTTCTCTGCTTTCTATTTTGTTTCCCAGTTTCCTTTTTTATCTGTTTTCCTCATGTATCTTTGTTTGTTTGTTTGTTTGTTTGTTTGTTTAGACAGGGTCTCACTATGTAGTTGAAACTGACCTGGAACTCACTATGTAGCCCAGGCTGGTCTCGAACTCACAGTGATCCTTCTGCCTCAGCCTCCCGAGTGCTGGGATTATAGGCATGTGCCACCACGTCTGGCTTTGTCATCATTATTTTTCTTAATTTTAAAAATGTTTACTAGTATGTGTTTGAAGTACATGATTACATTCATGGTGGGGAGTCAGTATATGTATATAACACATCTTAATTCTTTTTATGTCTCCCTCGCCTCCCCCCTCCATCACTTCATCCCCTTCCCATTTGAAAGACATCTTTTGGTTTCCTATCTTATCTATCTTTTATTTTGCCCTTTAATTTATTTAATTTTGGGTTTCTCATATAAGAGAAACCAAACCATATTAATCTTGTGTGTCTGATTTATTTCACTTAACACATGGTCTCAAGGTGCATCCATTTTCCTAAAAATGACTGAAGAGTACTCCATTGTATATAAATACCACATTTTCTTTATCCATCCATTCATCTGTTGATGAACTTATAGACCACTTCCAAGATGTATCTATTATGAGCTGTGCTGCTATAAACATGGCTATGCATATAACTCTGTAATATGATTTAATATGCATGTGTCCCTGTAATAACTCTTCTGGGAAGATACCAAGGAATGGAATAGCTGGGTCAAATGGAATTTCTAGTTTTAGTTTTTTTTATAATCTCCATACTAACTTTCATAATGGTTGTACTAGTTTACATTACAACCAACAATGAAGGATTCTTTTTTCCCTACAGCCCTGCAAGTATATATATATGGCGGGGGGGGGGTTTGGTTTTGGTTGAGACAGGGCCTCTCTTTGTAGTTCAGGCTGGGCCTGAATTCACTATGTAGGCCAGGCTAGCCTCAAATCCCCAGCAATCCTCCTGCCTCTGCCTCCCGAGTGCTAGGATTACAAGCAAGCACCACCATACCTGGCTTCAGATTGTTGTTATTTGATTTTGTGACAGTGGCCATTCTTTCTGGAGAGAGATGGAATCTGTGTTGTATTAATTTGCTTTTTTCTAGTGGCTAGAGAAGCTGACTATTTTTTCATGTATGTGTCTATTCATTTCAGCTCCCTGGTTTTATTTTACTGTCTTATTTTGGGGGGGGGTCCAATATTTTGAGTTCTTTATATATTCTAGTATATATTAGTCTTCTGACTGAAGATTAACTGTCAAAAAAATTTTTTTTCTATTCTGTAGGTTGCCTCTTACCTCTGTTGGTTGTTTCTTTTGCTATGTAGAAGCTTTTCCCTGCATCATCTGCCCAACCAGCCACCCTTCTTCCAGTGTATGCTTC